GCAGGTTGCCCTTCCATAGTAGGCAAGAATCAAATGGTCTTTCACTGTTTACATATATATTTTTATTTATTTATAAATTATTTTTTTTAAAAAATTATAATTATATTAAATTTTTATTTTTATTTTTATAGAATATTACATTAATAAATGAATTTTTTATTTTTAACTTTTTAAAAATATAAAAATATTTGTCTAATTGAAAAAATAGAAAAAAAAATATAATTATATCAATTGATTAAATATATATAGATACAAACAACATATGAATCAGCATCAAACAATATCATCATATACAAAATGCAAAATAGGGACAAACAACATATGATATAGATGTATACAATACATATACTCTCTACGTACGCCTCTATGGGTCACATTTATCTTTTACGTTATTTTACTTAACATAAAAAATATTTTTATATTTTTATAATTTTTTTTTTGTATGAATGTCTTTCTATTAGTATTATAAGACACTAATTAAAATATTTTTGTAATTTTTTTTTAATTTATACTATATTTTGATATAATAATTAATATTAAAAAATCAACACATAAAAAATAAATGAGACATTTAGAACCGGATATAGAATATTAAATTAACCGAATACAATTTCAACAAATAAACTAACAATAATGCATGATAGCGGCGGACAACCATACATACACAAAAACAAAACATGTTAATTGTCCAGTAAGGGATGACCTGTTAATGGGGATTGGACATGTGACCGTGAGACCATGGGTTCAAAGCCCCGATGCCTCAGGTCACCTGCCACACATGATTCGTTTAGTATGACTTGTCTGTCGAGCTTAGTTATCTAATAAAATACAAAGAAACAAACGAATTCATACAAAACATACATATGTTTATTTAAATAAAATATGTATTATTTATTTGTTTACGTTCAGTGAAAATTAATATAAGGGTAAACTGTGTTTTTAGTCCGTAACTGGACCCCTTTATCATTTTAGTCCCGTAAGTGGAGCATGTCACAAACTAGTCTCATAAGTGAAAAATTTTGATTGTTTTAGTCCTACGGCACCGGAGACACCCGCGTGGCTTGCCGGAAGCCAGGTGTCCGCCAGGTCTCTTGCAAGGTCAGCGACACCTGGTGGACACGTGAATTTTATTTATTTATTTTTATTTTTATTTTTAATTGGGCCAAATAAAAAAATTAAAAAAGGCAAATAAAATTAAAAATAAATTAAAAAATAAAAAAAAACTAAAAAAATTAAAATAAAATCCACGTGTCCGCCAAGTCAGCATGACCTGGCGGACACGTGGCCTCCAGTGAGCCACGCGTGCAGCTTCGGCGCCAGAGGACTAAAACAACCAAAATTTTTTTCTTATGGGATTAGTTTACGATAGACTCCGCTTACGAAATTAAAAGAATACGAGGGTCCAATTACGATATTAAAAAAAAAAAAAAAAAAGTTTATCCTTAATATAATGCTAATTTTGTACAATCATTAAGGTAACCGTATATGGATGGCATTCCCATTCAATATTTATGTCTAATTGTTTACGCTAACGTACTATTCAATATTTAAAAAGCATAAAATTAGATACATGAAATGACACTTGTCTCCTTCAAACAACCATGAAATGACAAAGATTCAAGTTTGATACGGAAGAACGGCTACCCCATTTTATTTTATTTACTTTTCTTATTTTCTAAATAAATAAATAAATATATTATATATAATATAAAATAAAACCCAAAATGAAGTAGGTGTGGGTGGGCCAAAATATATACTATTCCATCCGAGCTATTGAAATGTTATTATTTTTTATTTTTATTCGTCTCAAAATAAAATTATTATTTTCTAATATAGTAATCGTACTATCTACCTAATATAATAAATACTTTTTCAATTTACATTAACTTTTATATTACATCATACTAATAGGAATATTTTTATTTATTTTTACTACAATCCAATATAATATTAATATTAAAAAATCTACGTGTAAAAAGCAAATGTCACCCTTCCAATGGGACGGAAGGAGCATAATTTATTGCAAACACAAACAAATAAGAGAATGGATATATATATATATATAATAGTAATAGAAGAGAAAGGCAAAGGGATTATGCTTAACACTGTTTTGGACAAACTTGTCTTGAAAATGACTCAAAAGGCAATAGTAGTAAGTAGTAGTCATAGTATTCAATTCAATTCAATTAAATATAGTGTCCACGTCACACAGTCATCAATCAATATTATTATTTGGCAACAAATTAATTAACTTTAGACTAGTGAAATAAATATTTTCTTTCTTTGAAAGAGATATACATGCATACAGATTTTTGTTACTATTGTTCTCTATCATTCCATTCATCACTAGTAATGGCTTATACAATTATTATTATAAAATCGTCTATTATCCTGGCCGACAGTTCCACTCTACTTTGGGATTTGCGGTTTGTGTTTTTATATAATATTCCCATTCAGATTTTAAAAATAATAATATTATATTAAAAATAAATAATAAAAAACTAAAAAATAATAATTATTTATACAATATTGATATTTAATAATATATTTATGTAAAAAACAATAATATTTATATAATATTTGTGTTTCAGCGTGCACACAACTATTGTTTTGAGATAAATAGATATAGAAAAATAAAACTTATTTTAAAATGGAGAGAGTATTATATTTTTATTAAAAATAATTTTAATTTGAAATCTAAAAAGAAAACAACTCTATGTATATATTACTCATATTTTAAAATATGTATATAAGATATTTATGTAAATTTTATTAAATGATTTGTCATGTTAAAATAATAATAAAAAAAGACAGAACTATTGAGTTTGGTCACCCAATATTTTTTTAATGTCACAATTCATAAATATTATTAAAAATAATATTCACATAATACTTACCTTAATATATATAATATATATTTTATTCACTCACACAAAATTAATATGTAATACAAAATATTATATATATTACTCACATAATTTTCCATAACTAACATAAAAATACATACAAAAAATTGATATCTAATACTCTCTCGGTCCATTACATACAAAAAATTGACATCTAATCTGTTAATTAAATTTAGCCTATTAAAAATTTTGGCCAAATTAAAATTTAAGTATTAACTATTATCATCAATTCAACACTTATTTATTACAATTGTTACTATTTTTATTATATTTTTTCTTTGCCATAATTAATTATTAATTAAGTTTCTAAAAATACCTCTATTATCTTTTCATTTTTTTTTTTTTATCAATTTTAATAAAATCTTAATTAATTAATCTTAGTATCCAATGCAAACTAAAAAAGTATAATATTTTTCAAAATATATATACAACTTCTCTATGGTACCAACAGTAGTACAAGATATTTTACGTGATATCTTTTTTTTTATTTTTTTTTTTATTTTTTATTTTTTTGATAACATGGGAATCCTTAGTTGCTAGCCAAGAGTGCGCACGGGGTAAACTCCCATCCGAACCTAAGTGATTTTTTTTTTTTTTTTATAAATTTATTAATCATGAGTCAAGCACAACACCAACTGCTTTTACTATTCCAATGTTCGCTCCTGCCTTGAACATAAGGAAAATGAAATGATAAAAAATTTAATTAAAAAGTGTCATTTGCCATTTCTTACTATTGGCCTCTCAATTGAGTGCTCAAAACGCCATTATATGGCATCCAATGCTTATTGGTGCCAAATTCACAATAGAGTGGTCCCAAAAACATGGTTGCAATCCAAATCATTTCTAATCAAGACAACTTCGGTTATCACAAGCAGGGCAATCGAATTACTAAAACATGAACAAGACAAGAGGTGTTCTGTTTTTTTTTTTTTAATTACATCAATTTAGATGGAAACAAAAAACAGGAAGTATTCCATTTTCAATATCATTGAACCAAAAGACCTCAAGCATGTCTTCATTCTCAAGCAGGACAAAGGGTTTGATATATTCGAGAGGACAAAAAGGGGGGCCTTTAAAGTGAAGGCTAAACTAATCAGACATTTAATTATGCATATAGTGGGTAATAATTATGATTACTTTAATAATTGGGATTAGGATTATTAGGGAAGATAGGCTTTTTGGAAAAAAAAAAACCAGATCCTAGGAAGTATCGAGATGGGGAAAGTCCTAAAAGGGTACTTAGAAATCCTCTGTATTGATAACCTAAAATCTTTAGAGTAAGTGAATTGGCATAGTTTCGTAGCTAAATAATACATGACCATTTATATGTGTATTTTGTGTCACTGTGTGATGTATATATATTATTTACACAAGGAATTATTTTATGCATAATATATATATAATATGTTTTGCTAACTTTACGTGTTAAATTATTTGGAGTTTATGTCAACTTGGAGTGTAGTCTAAGTTCTTTATCATGTTAAATTATTATTATTTTTTTGATAACGTGGGAACCCGTAATCGCTACCCGAAAGTCCGAACTGGGTAAATCTCCGACCGAATCTAATACCCTGTAAACCAGTCATGACGGAAAAGTCATACTAGGTGAACCATGTGTGGCAGGTATTCGTGCATTTTGCTTGCAAGGATAACATTGGAAATAAAATCTAAGATCGAAAGTTGTTATTCAAACTTGTTTTTTTTTTTAAAAATAATAATAATAATAAATGAGGTAAAGTTATGGGATTTAGTTGTAAACTGAATTATCACTTCTCTCCTCTTATCCTTTATGTGTTTTTTTTTCTAGAATAGGCCTCATTACCTCTATTCAGTACATGTGGATACAAGAAGGTAATTTGGTGAAGTTAACAATTAGAAAGGGTGCTATTGGTACTAATCAAAATAATTCTATCCAGTCCTAGACTCGACCATTGAAATGCTCTATAGTTGTCTATATTTCTTAGGTTATATGTGACTTAACCAAATATAGGAAATTAAGTACAAAAACCAAGACTAAACTAGGAACTTAATCATGGGATAATTTCGTTAACATATAGGAAAAGGCTCATGAGAAAAATAGAGACTACTGCAAAAATGAAACCATGGAAGGTAATGGAATTTGGGAATGAAGCAAACCTGTTGTGGCTAGAGAATAAGTTTGATAGAGTCTCCTCTGTCACAAGTGAACGATCCGGAAAATGTCCTGCCGTGCCGAGCATTATTTGAGTTTCTTCCATGTCCTGTCGCGAGTTCATGAAAGTGAAACTCAAAAGTATGTAAATCCAGAAGGAATCAAAGATAAGGTGAAAGAAAGCAATAAAAAGACATGGAGCTCACAAGTATGGACTTGTTATCTGACTGCTAAGAATGAGTTCATTTAGGATCCAAACATGGCTCAATTTATTGCATGCAAACGCAACGCAAATTATGAATGTAGGCGTCTAAAAGAGGGACACATACATATGTAGAGCATGCCTTCAGTTTATGATGATGGTATTGCGAAATTTTCTCCTTTTCCTCCTTGCTTTCCTTAAGATCCGCGCTGTTTCTTCCATGGCTTCCTCTGTCGAATATTCATCCATTCCTGATCAAAGAAACACAATGGGAATAACAAGCACACAATTGATCATGCAACTTCGAGAGCAATAGAAGCAAAACTAGTGTTGGCAGTCACAATATTTTTACCTGTTCCATTTTTTGTATACAAGCAGGAAAAGCATTCCTCGTCTGAATCAATGACAATTTGGCGTTCCTGTTCCAACCACAGCATTACATATATTATTCACAAACATTTTTCATCTAGAAGGCTAGGATTTTCTTAAAGAAGTAAGACAGGATTTTCATAACATGCACATGAAGTGGAAAAGAAGCACAACAGTTATAGAAGTTACCGATTGATTTGGTGGACTTTTCATATGATTGTTCCGCTTATAAAGATTTCCATATTTAGTTGTTGCTTGCTCTTGCTTTACCAATGTCCAGCCTCCCATTTCAACCTTTGGTGCTAGCCTTGTTTGTTTTGCTTTTGAAACTCGTGTTGAACTACAAACAAGAAGGTTTTGCGTAGTTAGGGAACAGATTGAAGCATCTTTAGTAAGTGAATATAATGATCTTATTACAGAACAAACTTATGAAGTAGAGTGCATGCAGAAACAGGAATAGCCTTATATATCAGATGGATATCGTTCCGGCAAAGAGTAGCCCTGAATAGGTGTACCTGCTTAGAAATTGAAATTTCTCAGGAGAAGCATGGAAAGTGACAGCCTGCAAAACATAGTAACTACTTTAAGAAAATATCTTCATGATGATTACAAACAACTCAAAATGAATCTACCCTGTGTCATTAAGGCTGTGCAGAGAAGAGTACCTTTGGTCTCTGGGCAGAAGAAGTTGATTGTCTTTGTTGGGACATCTTTATATTGGAAGAAATTTCCTTTAAGTATTTGAACAAGAATATGGTGAATAAATCTTTCTGTGGTGGACTTAAATGCACATATATAGCGCAAACTGTTGACCTAACATGTCAACATTGTCGTCTGAAATTCATCAAATTTGGTTTTAAGAATACGTACCTGAATTTCTTTACAGAATTTGTTGTGAAGTTCATTTTGAAACTTGTGTAGTTGCGTGTCGATTTTCTCCGATAAGGATGACAGCATTGAGACTACATCTCCCAACATCTCTTGGTTCATAATCTGCTTGAGCTGATCAGTTACAGATTTCAAGCCCATGTCCAGTTGAGTTTTGATGTCTTCTTGTACCCTGCTCTGGTTAATAATGGATTAATAATATAATTAAATTCAGTTGCTTCTTAGCTCATGGCATATCAAGAGATTAAGGATGCAATATAGCCGGATATGGAAATCTTACTATCGAGTGCACTGAGTCTTCATGAACAATCAATTTTTGCCTCACACCTTCCACTGTAAAGCATTAAACAGCTATGTCATTTAGCTCTAAGCTGATCTAACAAACTTTTTCATCCCTAAACCCCAAAATACGAGAAACCAATGTTTCCATTTGAACAGTATGATAAACTCACAATATTCTCATTGGCAAATAGTGAGATAACCATAAGTTCCCACTATCAATAGCATGCATAATTACACAAATCTAGCTTTCGAGTACATGATTACTTTGGGTTCTAAACTACAGTCAAGAGATGTTGTGTACTTACTCTCTAATGCCACTTCTTTTGTAACCTTGTTCACTTGCATGATGTCATTTTGAACAGAGTCTAAAATCATTCCAAGCCTGCTTAATGAAGTTTCCATCATTCCAATTCTGTTGTCAAGTTCTTCACTGTTCTGACCTGATTGATAAAGTAAGATTCAAATTTAGGCAATAAACTGTTATAAGATAATATTGCTAACAAACCTATTAGGAGTTGGTTTTTTCACATGAAATTTCTTCATCAAAACCAGAATTTTATTACAAACTTTCAGATTTCTTTTGGATTGAACTAATACACAATACAGTTCTAACTCCAGGCAAAATATTACAAACAATTGCAATCAACGAGAAAACCAAGGTTGTTTTACTGGATTTTTGTATCAAATAAGAATCTTACATTTGTATTCTTGACTGGACCACTTGCGCATCACATTGTTAGAAGCTCTAGATACAATCATTCCACTCTCTTCTTGTGTGTGGCTCATAGGAGGTAAGTAAGACGTCCTTCTGATTGAATTTTCTCTTTCTTGAGACCCTATTTTCTACGAACAATTCAAATTAACCACAAATTAGCAGATTCAAGGTGAATAAACCAGAAACGAACACCAGATTATTTTCTTACTTTTGTTAGAAAGGAAGAGAACTCTCATTCAGTCGAGAAACATGAACTCCACAATAAATCAGCCAAGGATGGAAAGAACAAAAAGACAACAAATTGAACAGCCAATTCTCATAGTATTACTCCTTAATGGAACTAGTAGAATCACCTTCTACAAGAAAACTGCTTATAAATCCAAGACAATATTTGTCACAGAATCTTTTCAAGTTTATTAGTCTCCATGTAATATGATAATATGTGTTTATAGATAGATGCATACGAATTAATGAATGTTGAATCCAAGAATATGCTGGATTCAACGTTCCTCTAAATCAGTAATACATCCCCACACACGCAAGCTCATGCAATACTCAAATATAAGGATGAACACCTCGTTAAGGAGACCTTCGCCTTGAGAATTCTGTGAAAACTGAGATAGGTGCTGAGATGAAACTCCTTGAGAAAGCGAACGCTGTGAGTGTTGCAGCGGCTGTAGCTGAAGCTTTGACGCTGTTTGGCTTCCTCCAAGTATTGCAGAAGTGTCTAATCCGCTTGAAATCACACTCGATCTCCTTAGTATCCAGAACAAAATCTTCAATGTCATAACAATGTATCCAATTCAAATCTATTATATATATATATATATATATTCAAACATACATATATGCGATCAATTTTTTTTCGTTGCATGAACTGATAATAGGAATAATTTATGTATGCTGATGAGCAAATTGAGTAAATAAACATCAATATTAGGAACAAAAGAAACCTCTTACTACGAATGCTGCTCCGCAGATTACAAATTATTCTTGTGCTTTGCAGATATTTGCAATTCGTTAACCAAACAGAAAAGCGTACGCTGTAGAACGCAAAAATTTAAAAACAAGCGTGATTGGAAGAATTTCATATACCTGGACTGAGGAGGAAGAACAGATATGGAGCTAAGATCGCAAGCTTTGTTGATCTTCAGCTTCATTTCTCAATTGCTGATGTGAAACTGGAGATTCGTACGAAATCAAAATTTTGAAGGAAATCAGCTCGAACGTTTAACCATTTGTTCCTAGCGTTTGACTTTGGTTCGAGGCAGCGTATTTGGAAAACAGAGGCAAAAATGTTCAGAGCAGTCTTGAAAGTATATTTATAGTTAAGAATTGGCGGGAATGGGCTAAGGGATTGCTTGGATCCGTAATAAGAGAAGCATATTGGGCCGCCACGAGGCCCAAATTTTGATACAAATATTATTTACAACTGAAAAGGAACGAATGAATTAAAAATGAAAATAAAAAGGAAAAGAAGAAAGGGAAAGCGAGGCGGCAGCGGCGGCTATGTGTGGTAGTAATTTTATTATCTTATTTTCTTTAAAGCTTCTTATTTATTTATATTATGTAATATCAATAAAAATAAATTAATTATTTTTTCTGTATAAAATATCATATTTAATACTCCATCGTGATAAATTTAATTATGATATTAATTGAGAATAATTTTATATTAATTTGATGATTATATAATAAAGTTTGATATATATTTTGATTTAGTAGATATTGAATAATAAATTATATAATAATATATGATTGAGTGAATATTGGATAATAAATTAATAATATTTGTGTTTATCCATTATATATATTTATATATATTGTAATAGTTTTGTAGAGAAAAGTATCGAGAAATAAAGTTTATTTTCCTCCTTTATTATTCCATATTTTGTTAATTTTTCTATCAGTATCAGAGCCAAAGCCATGAATGACTCGATCCCTTTATCCGTGCCGATTCTCGATGGAAAATTTTTTAATCAATGGATTGTCCAAATGAGGGTGTTTTTCGATTTTTATGAATTACCGAATATTGTTGAAGAAGGTGTTCCAGTATTGCCGGAGGGTGCAACTGTTGCACAACAGACAACCAATCGAGAGAATAAGAAAAAAAAGATAAAAAAGCTCTATATCTTTGATGAAATGATGAAAGATGAGTCTTGGTTATGACATCTTCGCTTTGGTCACTTGAATTTTCAAAGATTGAAAATGCTTGCTCAAAGGAATATGGTGAATGGATTGCCAAAGATCTATCACCCCAATCAAGTGTGTGAAGCATGCATTTCAGAAAAGCAAAGTAGGCGACCATTCAAAACTGAAAATAATTGGTGGGCAAATCACTTATTGGGTCTTGTTCACTCTGATGTTTGTGGCCCGATGAGTGTTAAATCTCATGGCAAAAATAGGTACTTCTTGATATTTATTGACGATTTTTCTTGAAAGATTTAGGTTTACTTTCTACCTAAGAAATCTGCAATGTTCACAAACTTTATGAAATTTAAAGCTCACGTAGAAAAACAAAATGATTTTTCTATAAAAAAAGGTTGTGAACAGATGGTGGCGGTGAATATATATCTTCCTAGTTCAAGAGTTTCCTAGAGGATCATGGAATCGAGCATCAAATAACTCCACCTTACACTCCTCAGCATAATGGAGTTGCAGAGCCGAAGAATAGAACCATCTTGGATATGTCAAGAAGCATGTTGAAAGCCAAAGGGTTACCGAATTCCTTTTGGAGAGAAGCTGTTGCTTGTTCGGTGTATTTGTTGAATCGGTCTCCAACAAAAGCTATTCGTGACTTGACGCCAGTAGAAACATGGTGCGGAATCAAACATAAAGTTCAACATTTGAGAGTATTTGGTTCCGTGGTCTATGTACATATTCCGGCGGCCACTCGAACAAAGCTAGATGATCGTGGAGAAAAGACCATCTTTGTGGGTTATGCGCATGGTGGATACAAAGTTTTTAACCTAACAACAAATAAAGCCATCATCAGTAGAGATGTCATTGTTGTAGAGGATGAAACATGGAGTTGGAGTTTGCCTCAAGTAACTCAAAGCCGACCTGTTCAATTACTTGAAGGTGCTTCTCAAGGTGGAATTCACAGTATGGCTGAAGAAACTACACAAGCCAATACTTCCAATGAAAGACCGACACAAGCCAATACTTTCGACGAAAGGCCAAGGCGTCAGTGACAACTTCCGGTCACACTACATGACTATGAGTAGAGCTGTTAACAAGCCGAGCCGAGTCGAATTTTCAGTGTTCATGTTCGTTCGTTAAGCTTAACGAACAAGGCTCGTGTTCGTTCGTTAAGCTTTCGAGCTTGTTCGTAGTGTTCGAGCTCGGCTCGTTAAAAATTTTTAATGTTTGAGCTCGTGATCGTGTTCGGCTCGATAGGGCTCGATTAAGCTCGTTCGGGTTCGATTGAGCTCGATTAAGCTCGTTTGTCTCACTTGTTTGTTTTTTTTTAAAAAATAATAATAAAACATGAAAAAATTGTAATTCAAGAATAAAAGCACAATAAATAACAATCCACTAAAAATTTAACAACACGAACTTAATTCAACAAAATCCAACACAATTTAACACAAACTTAATCCAACATAATACAACACAATCCAACACAATACAACACAAACTTAATCCAACACAATCCAACACTAACTTAATCCAATACAATCCAACATAAACTTAACCCAACACAATCCAAAACAAACTTAAATGAAAATACAATCTTTCCAAATATAACATCATGATATGCTATCAAACTATGGATGCATCAAATGATCGTATCTTTTCACGCTGAAAATCTACAAAAATTTGTATATATATGTTAGTATATCTAAATATAAATTAAGTACAATAATAGAAGAAAATAAGTACCCGGACATGAAATTAAGATACGCCATCAAACCATAGGTAGAAAATATGTACCAAGAATAAGCTACCAAACCGCTAATTCATCAAGAAATTACGCCTTTAGCTTTGAAAATCTGCAAAAATAATAAATACAAATATCAATGCATGTAAAATAAAATTAAATGGCTAATCTAAATACAACTATAAAATATAAATTTAAAAATGATATATTGAATTACAATACATTATTTATTTCAATGATTCAACCTGGAAGATCAATTTCTTTGTAGTTAGAAAACTCCTTAGTATCCAACTCTTCCTGTAATAGAATTCAAAATTATATCAATTTAATTTAACATAGAAAAATTAGAAAATAAAGAAAATAAGAAAAGTATTACCTTTTTTAAGAAATATTTCTTAAGACCATGCAAATTTCTAATCCAATCATTGTCACAAAGCAACATTTGCACCGTATCAACCGACATAGAAGCCTAACGATCATCAATAACTCTACCACCGGCGCTAAACGTAGACTCAGAGGCCACTGTGGTTAAAGGAATAGATAATATATCACTTGCCATCCTTGCCAATACTCAAAACCTCAATCTTTCTTCTTTCCACCAACCCAAACCATCCAGGTTTGCATTGACATCACAATCATATCTACTTTCACTCAAATAAACATCCAAATCAGATTTCTGTGGCGGGGCTTTATTAGACTTACTCACGTGCATATGAAACTTTGCTTTTCCGGTTAAAATTTCACTTCCAACCCCACTAGTACCCAAAGAGTTAGAAGTTGAAGACCCTCTAATTTCAGAATGTTTACGCTTCAATACAATCAGAGGCCTCTCTTTAGAAGTGTAATTCGTGACATACTCATCATAAAGATCATACAAAATCTTCTTGATCTCACCCACGTAAATTGAAGCTTCATCCTCACCATAAATTATTGGAAAAGCAAAATCAATAAGCTCCATTTTATATCTTGGATCTAAAATAGCACCCAAAGATATCAATACATTACTGTCTCCCCAATACTTGTTAAATTTCTCTTCCATTCTTAATGCTATAGACCCCATATGAGAAGAATGATGTGTGCATTTCTCATTAAGAAGCTCTTTAATCCGATACAACTCAGGGAGGAAAATATTAGCCGTTGGATATTCAGATCCAGAAATCATATTTGTAATCTCATGAATAACTCCTAAAAATTGGCAAACATCTTCCACTTGGCTCCACTCAAATTCAGTCGGCATATAACGAAATCCAACATCAATATCAGCATATCTAGAAAACACATCTTTAAACTGTAAAGCTGAAGCTAACATCATATAAGTGCTATTCCATCATGTTGGACAATGAAGAAATAACTTCTTCGGAGACAAAGAGAGTTGTTTTTTTTTTATTTTTATTTTTTATTTTTATCTTGCTAAATTCAATGAGATGCGCTTCAGAATTACATAAATACTTTATTTCATCCCGAACACAATCAACCACAGACCCAATCTTATTAAGACTATCTTGCACCAACAAATTCAGGATGTGTGTACAACAACGAACGTGAAATATCTTTCCCCCAATACTTAATTGTTTTCTCAACAAAAAATCAATTTTCAATCTCTTCACACATACATCATTGTAAGAAGCATTATCAACTGTAATACTAGACACTTTATTTTCAATTTTCCAATTAATGAAACATCTACTAAGTGCATCAACTATAATAACACCAGTATGCGGAGGTGGAACATTACAAAAATTCAACACTCTCTTTTGTAATACCCAATTGTCATCTACAAAGTATCCAATCACCACCATATATTGAACCTTTTGGTTCGACTTCCACAAGTTAGTTGTAAGACTAATTCTTGTAACACCTTTTAACATTGATTTTAACATTTTTTTTTTTTTTTCAGATTCAAAAGTAGTCATGCAATCCTTCTTCACAGTATGTCTACTAATCTTTTGATAAAAGGGAGAAATAACTTTAAAAAACTTGTTGAAAATAGCATGCTCCATTATGAAAAAGGATATTCATAAGCTAAAATCATATGGGATGCAAGTTCCCATACCTTAGCATGATCGTACCGATAATTCGCAATCAAAGTTATCCCTTCTGAATGAGATTCGGTAGTGAAAGAAAGAACCTGCTGTTCCGAAGGCAATGATGTTTTAATGCAACTATCCAGATGACGCTTATAAGTAGTTGCCGTTCCTCCCGAATTTCTTGAGAAAATCCCTTTACAATGACTACATTGCACTTTTACTGACCCATCAGGTTGAGATATTTCTTTAATATGTTGCCACACAAACGATTTCTTAGCTCAACTTTTTTTTTTTTTTTTATAATCCTCCCTATTTT